ATTTAGTATCTGACCATTTGCAGAAAGAGTGTGTTGATCCGTTATCTAGTTGGTGGCATAACTGGGATTAGAATTTAGGTTTCTTGACCTCCAATGCTGTGCTTTCCTAATAACACCTGAGACTTGCTCTTTCCAAAATTAATTACAGGAAGAGTTGGTTTTACCAGTGTTTAATAAACTAGAAATATCTATTAACTGGCACTTCTATATGTCTATATACAATGGTCATTCATTTCATAGTTATTATCCTGAGACACCTGAATCAAATATCCTGATTTGGAGTCTTCACATTAAGCATGTTCTATATGTAATTTCTTTTGAAAATGCTAAATCGGGTATTGTAGAACATTAATGTTCTCAGGCCGAGCAGCTTGTGGATAAGAGAGGATTCACATTGACATTTACAACCAGATTTGCTGGCTCTTTGCCTCCATCTGCCATGTGAGCCTTCAGACCCATGCAAAGTTCTGTCTACCTAAATGATTCTGAGTGTCTCTAGAGGAACTTATGGCTATTTCCCCTACAGGTCTCTGCCAGGAACACTGAGCTGCTCTGCTGGCCAAATACATCCCGATTTAGTGTGTTGTCCATCTCCATTAACTTCTAAGCTACAAAGTCTTTGATGGGGAGGGAGGATTGGGAGTGGAGGTGCTGAAATAACATGGAGTTCCCTTTGGCATTCGCAGCCCTGGATCTCACTGTAATTCCACTCCGTGTTACACTCAATTTCATTCTTCCCCACTCACCATACGCCTGTGGGAGTAGTTCTCAAAGTGTAATCCCAGGATTAGCAGCATCAGCAGCACCTGGGAACTTTTAAGAGACGCAAATCTCATCCCAGGCCTATTAAATCAGAAACTCTGAGGTTGAAGCCCAAGAATCTGTACTTTAATAAGAAATGAGTGATTCTAATACACGGTTAAGTTTGAGAATCAGCAACATAGGGCATTGCATGTAGACCAATACTTTCATCTCCACTTCCCCGCTTTCACCTAATGTAGTGGTTTGTGTGTAAAAATGATTACAATAAAGCCTCCTACCACAGTAATGCATTGCCCTTTGCAATGTGGCATGGCAGCTCCTCCCTTCAAGAGATGAAGTACTTTCTGCATCCCTTGAATCTGGGTTGACCTTTTGGACTTGCTTTGATCAATAGAATGTAGCAGAATTGATGTTGTATAAATTTCAAAGTCTAGGCTTTAAGAGATCTTGTAGCTCTCACTCTCCCCCTCTTGGAACACTGCCCTGAGAATACCACATAATGAAGCCTAGTACAGCCTACTGGAGGTTGAGAAGTCTTGTGAAGAGCCAAGGTTCTCCAACCAACAGCCAGCCGTCGGATATCTGAAAGTCAATTTTAGACCATCTTGCTTCCATTTAGTTGCCAGATAACTGTATCCACATGAATAACACCAAGCGAGACCATCAGAATAACTATCCAACTGATCACAATAGAAACTGCAGACATACAGAATCATGAGAAAGTAAATAACTCTTGTTTTAAGCTAGTAAGTTTTGGGGTTCTCTTTGAAAATCATAAATAACTGATACACCTAGCTGTCCAAGCAACAACAATTGCAAAAGTTTTATTCCAGCATGCTCATTTGTCATGCAAATTGAAACAATTTATATAGCTGAAGCAGGCCCATCCCATCATATTATGTAATTTAAGTAAGAAGCCACAAGGGAGCTTGGTTTAGTGTTAAAAAAAAAAAAAAAAAACGAGCCGCTTTGGGTCTCAGTTTCTATACATGTAAAAGAAGAATATTCAACCAGATGATAATTTCAGTGATTATTCCAAGTTCAGAGTTTTATTGTTTTAAGAAAGTTAAGTAAACTGATTTCTTCTATTCCTTAAGTAGAAAAGACACAGAAACATATCACTTTTAGTCCCCATACATCCAAGATTGAGTTAAATTATATCAACTACTGGCTAGCTGCCTCCGTATCTGGAATTTCCATTAGGTTCTTGGACAGAGAGATAGTGCATGGCACAGCAACAAAACAAAACACAGATTTTGGAGCCTGACACACTTGGATTGGAATCCTGGCTCTCTTTCTTTCCAGCTGTGTGGCCTTAATCTAGCTATTTCCCCTCTAAACCTTGGGTTTCTAATCTTTAAGGAAAACTGCGGATAACCATGTGTACTTTGCAATTATTTTGAGGATAAAGACATCTATGTACAAGAAGTTGCACATGAAAAAGTAGGAATGCAATAAAAAACTTATAATGAATTATAAACTCTATTGTATTAAAATATAGTACATGAAATAATCATACATTAGAAGCATATACAAATTAGATTTCCTTTTTAGTATATTTATTTCAGATTTAACTTCCTATAAGCCAGGAAGTCAGGAATAGAAACAATTCTTAATTCTGATGTGTAAAACAGCATGTTAAAGAAAAGAAAAAAAGTCTTATTTGAATAGAAGCAGCTCTGCATCTGATTCCCTATTGATTTCTTTTCATGCAGCATTTGTGTATTTAACATCTTGTCTTTATGCTCAGTTCTGTGACAGTTTGCTAAAAGGGATGAAAAGTCCCTGCCTTTGAGAAAATTCCTCTCCCTCACTTCTCCGGTTCTGGCCCGACTCCTCTAGCTGTCCTGAATAGCTAAGGGCTGCGGGGATTCCCAGACTCTCCTTCCTGGCAGCAATGTGGAGGATGTGGGGAAAAGACAAGGAGTGGGAGTATTGAGGCCCTTGCACTGGGGAGAAGGAAGTAGGGCAGTAGCTATGAAAGACAAATATCTCTCACTGCTTCCATAACTCTTCCCTTAACCCTCTGCTCTGGTCTTACTGGTCTCCTTAATGTTCCTCCATCTTGCTTATACTTCAACATCTTTGTTTTGGCTCTTCTCTCTCTGCCTGGAATACTTTCCCTAGATATACACATCAGCTTACATCAGCTTTCTGTTGTTCTCTTAATGGAAGAGCTTCCCTGACCACACTATAGACACTGATGCCCTCTTCCCTGCTCCCTGCTTTCTTATTCCGTATAACTGTGTTTCTCAAACTTCAATGTGTACAGCAATCACCGGGGGAGTCTATTACGATGCAGATTGTGATTCAGTGAGTTTGAGGTGGGGCCTGAGATTGTAACAGATACTCATTTGACATCAATCTGTAGACCACATTCTATAGCACTTATAATCATTGAGATAGCATATATTTTCTTCTTTATTAGGTCATCACCTTTCTCTTCCAACTAGAATATAAGTTTCATGAAAAGGAGGACTTTATCTTATTCTATGCTTTATCCTCAGCACCTAGTATGATGCCCAACACATAGAAGTCACTCAATAAATATTTATTAAGTGGATAAATTACATATGTTGCTGGAAATCAAAATTGGAACTTTGAATGTACTTTTCTTTAGAAACATTACTGTTACATTTAGTACCTTACATGTTAAATAGATTTCTGTGCCCTGGCTTTGAAATCTTCCTACCATATGTAAAGTGGCTTACATGGAGGCATAAACCCTTAAGTTCAGACTTCAACAAAATTAAAAAGAAATCTTTGGAACACAATCTCTTCATAGAATTTCAGAGTCTGAAGTTAAACATACCAGAGACAGCTAGAGAACAAACACCAATAAATGATAATAACGGGACAAACTATACATATGTGCTGAGGGAACCAAAAATTACAACTCATAAAAAGAAATAAACCTGACATAATTAGTTGAATATAACCCTGATATAGCAATTTTAGTGTCCCAGATTGACAAAAAAAACAATGCTTGCACATCTTTTTCAAGTCTCCAATGTCATTAAATCTAACTCTGATGACTGCTCAGAAACCCCAGGAGGGACATGAAATGTACTGTCCCAAGATTGTACAGCCTCTTTTAACCCAAGCATTATTTATGCCTTCTATTGAATGATGATTGTGCTACCCTGGCTGTTATCTTTCCAGTTCAGTATATTTCTACTTGATAGAAAATAAAAATCAACTTTACCTGAAGAAGCAGTCACTATGCTTTAATGCTTCAATCATTTGATCTTTGAAAAGTAGACAAGTAAAAAAAACAACCGAAAGATGTTTTTAGTTCTGCCTAATTACAGAATGGTATAGCAAAGAAGTTTTCTGGCTTCTTTCCTCTGAGAGTCAAAGCCAGCCTTACCCTTGTCATGAGAATTTATGCATACCTTCTATCAACAACTGAATAGGAAGTGAAATAAAATAGACTGAAAATAAGCAGTGAAAACAAAAATTAAAACTATAACTGAATGAAGAAACATTCCTCTCCAAGTCAGCTTGTGGTAGTCACAGTCCATTTTTCTTTTTCTTGAACTAAAAATGGAAGAGCCCTTAAAAATTGTTTGCAAATGGGACGGAGAGAGGTGCTGGGAGGACTGTGTGTGTTTTTGTGGTTTCTCTGATTTTTATAGCCATAGTTGAAGTCTATTGTCTAAATGATATAGGATTCATTCAGATGGCAACTTCATGTATTTAGTGTTAGTGGATACTCTGGCACTTAACCCTGATGCCCTCTTCAGGGACAGCGCATGCATCCCTGGATGTTGGGAATATTGGTTAATTGCCTTCAGCCCCAGAAAACTCTTCCAGGTTGTCCCTCGGCTCTCAGGGGGCAGCCTATGGGCAATGGCTGGCGCCAACTGTGGAGGTCCTCTCCCTGCAATTCAGGACAGCTCTGCAGAGCCAGCTCAGCTCTAGGGCTCCTGCATGACTGGCTGAGGCTTTTGTTGCAGCCAAATCACATTTCAGACTCTCCCACTGTCTGCCTGGTGCTCTGTTGTTCTTTTTAGATGAATCTCCAGGAAACACTCCTCAATATACCTTCATCATGCAACACTTTGAATCAATTTCCAAGGAACTCACTCTAAGACTATTTGCATAGTCAATAACACAAAGCTTTATCACTATCTTCAGAATTGGAACAAATTTGCTCTTTCACCCTGAGATCATTTCACAGCCGTTCTTTTGAATAAATAGCTAAAGCCAAAGGGAATGGGATCCAGCATACTTACAGGCTCCAACAGTGGGCAGTCCAGGAGCTAGGTCAGGCTGCTTTGCCCTCAGCTCTTGAAGTAAATGGTTTACCGCCTTCCACTCAGAGCTCAGATCTTCTAACTTCCTCTTTAATAGAAAAACATACACATTACTTACTTGATTAACACTTTGAAGATAACTTAATTCATGAAGTTATTAATCTATTTTGTGAATATATTTTTGGATTTCTATTACATTTTACTTTTAAATTAATTTTTTTTCTGGGTAGAATTCCCTTCAAAGGAATGATAATTATTTTAGCCAACCACCTTACAAATATTTTATTGATTGTTTGCTGCATGCAGACTTTTCCTTCAGGCACAATTTCATTCAAGGAAGTAGAGTAGAAACATTAGTGAAAATAAAACAAACAAACAAAAAGTCCCTTCAGAAATTGGCTTCACTTCTTAAAATAGTATCAAGTGTGGCTGCATACTAGAATTATCCAGATAACTTTTTAAAAGTCCTAATGCCCTGGTTCATCCCAGATCAATTATATCAGAACATCTTAGAGGGAGGGGCTGTGGTAGACATGGGAATATGCCATCCAGAGCCCCCTTCAAGGAAAGACTCTTGTCCTAGATGATGGAAATAATGTCAGTAGACATTCTTCAGGGACTGTCTCAACTGCAGAGAGCCACTTTGTGCAAGGGCTCACCCTTCCCTGTGTAGCCCCCATTCAATGACTGATCAAGATGAGGGTATAAAGGCCTGGCCAACTTGGCTCAAAGCAGGACAAGTTTGAAGGGCTATTTCAGCTGCAGAACTCCCCGTGGAGTCAGCCAAACCTGTATATGGCCAGTGGTGTGCTGGTGGATGTTTAACAACTGGCTCTCTAGGGGAGAAAAAACATTCTGATTTTAGTGTTTGCCCATTTCTGTAAATACTCCCACCATGGTCAACTTTAAATTACCAAGATAACATCAAGTAGCTTAGAAAATGCCTGAAAATTTAACAATAGTCCCTCCTGAGCTGATATAAACTGGCTCCAACTCACCACTGGGCAGGCATATGATTAGTTATAGCCAGCAGAATGTGAGCAGAAGTGATGTTTGTCAGTTCTGGGCTGAAGCTCTCCAAAAATGGGTGAGGTTGTGAGGTTTCTACACTCTTTCTTTCCCTTTCCATTGACTGGAAGCAGAGGACCCTAAAGTTCTAGGGTAAAACTTCACAACTATGCGGTGGGGGTAGGGAGAGTTAAGTCCTATTGCCCTAGAGCAGTGGTTTTTATACTTTAGGATCAACAGAATCACCTGGAGGCCTTGTTAAACACCGATTGTTGTGTGAAAGCCCCCTAGTTCTGGATGTAGTAGGTCTTGGGTGAGGCCCAAGAATTTGCATTTTTAATACTTTTCCAGGTGATGCTGATACTGATAGTCCATGACCAAAGCCTAAGGCATCCATTATACCTGATGAGTTACCTAAGCATCTAAGAAGAACTAGATATGCGCTGTCCTTGAAAAAATAACAAAATAGGCCCTCAAATAATTTTCAATAGGACTTAATTCTCTGGAGAAACCCTAGTAGAGAAAAGCTGCCAAGGGCAGAGCCACAGGATCGATAGAACCTAGGTTTCTGTAATAACACATTCAGGAAAGCTGCTTGGCCGGGAACACATACACTGGACTGTCATATGAGCAAGAAAATCACTCCTATCGGGTGTTAAGACACTGAAATTTTCAGCTTGTTGGAACTAGCAGTACATTACTAATACAGTAGCACTACTCTTAAAAGCTTTATGAGTGCCTATGAGGGTTAATAGCATTTTTATACAGCTGTAAATTCCCAGGCTTATGCTGTGAGGAATATAAATAATTTTATTGACATTGGATTTGGTTAAAATGAATACATTAACAGAAATTACATTTCTATTCTGAAGAATCAAAGTTGGAAGAGCCAGAAACTACAAACCCTTTAGAGAGCTATTGAATAAACAGGAATAGTAATGAACCCGACCTAAGTAGAACGTTTTATATATATGATGTGTGGTGTGGTTTAATACTAATCATTAATCTAATGCTAATCATTTCAATAAAAACATGCATTCATTTGTTTATCCATTCAAGAAAAAAAAGTTCAGCTGCTACTCTGTGCCAGTCTCTGTGCCAGTTACTAAGCTTACAAAAATGAAGATAATAACTCTAAGACTCACAGCCTTGTGGAGAAAACAGACATGTAAATAAATTACAGCAGAGTTTTTAGGGGATAATAATGATTTCAACAAGATACAACAGGGAACAGCTTACTCAGCCTGAAGAGGTCAATAAGTTACCCAAAAAGCTCACACCTGAATGGTCTTAAAAGATGACTAGGAATTTTTTAGAAAGGTGCTGTTTGAGTGCCAGGTGAAGAAAGGGCATTACAGACAGACAAAAAAGCACGTGCAAAGCCACAGAAACAAGAGACATGAGTCTTTTTGAGAAAAAATAGACTAGTTATCTGGATTACAGTGTTTATAAGGAACAATACAAAACTTTTAGGCCAGATCCAATGGCAATTTATTAAAGCCTTATAATGTGAGATTATTAGATTGTCTTCTAAAACCAGACAGTGGATGGAAGTGTTTACAACAGAGGAGTTATATAATAAGATTTGTGCTTCTTACAATGTGGGGGCTTTATCAGAGGGGAGCAAGGACATGCGTTGGGAGAATAATGTGGTAATTGGAGTGAGAAGTGGTCAGGACCTGGATGAAGGCTTTGGCCATGTAGACAAAGATAGAAGTGTGTGTGTGTGTGTGTGTGTGTGTGTGTGTGTGTGTGTGTGTGTTTATTTTCTCATCCGTGGTAGTTGAGATTTTGAGCTGGTAAATGCTGAAGAGAAACTTTCTATCAAGATGTTTCTTCAAGTCCACCTTATCAGTGTGTGTCTTTCCAGTTAGTTAGACTATGTGTCATTTGGAGGGCAGGTACTGGGTCTTCTATTCCTTGTATGGTGTTGTCTTCATACCCAATCCAGTGCTTCCTAATGATGGGAGTTCCATAAATATTTCTGAATTGAATCAAATTATATAAAAATGGCCACTTGAATGAAGGAAAAAAGAAAGAGATAATCGAATTTTTCTCCTCCCAACTTGACTACAATGTGAATTACAAACGATCAATGACATTTTAGAGGACTTGAAAGAGCCCAGGTAGATTTTCCATGTATGTGATCATTTTATTAGGCTTTTATAATTCCTGAACTAGACTGTATTTGAAAAATCAATCTACTGGCAAGAGTCACAAATTCAGGCTCCTATGAGGACTAGGTGGTAATGAATGGAAGAACAAAACTTGCCTAAAGCAGAGAGCTGTAACTTCAGTTGCAATTGGTGATTGCCAGCAGAAACATGGGCATAAGTTAAAAAACAGAAAACAAACAAAAATCCCTGATGATCGTATTCACACATTAGTATATGCAACAGTTAAAATCAACAAATAGGCGTATGTGGAACAATATGGGTGGATCCTTAAAACACTGTCATGAATTTTCAAAAAGATAAGAAACAAAAGATTTATAGCACAAAGTAGTTTATAAATTCCAAATATACTTATAAATAATATTACGTATTTTACAAGGATAAAGCAGGAAAGGAAATGGGAGGAGGATATTATTATCACATTTCAGAAATTTTGTGAATTGGTTGTTAAGCACAAAAATTAAGAAAAAATCATGTAAACTTAAAATTAAATAAGCTGTATTAAAAAAGGTAATAGATACTAAAAATCCATCACTTCCAATTTAACCGTCACTTATGTTCTTGAGGTTATGTCTATTGTGTCTGACATCAAGTCGAGAGTAGAAACAAGACTTTTATTTTTTTCAACCAGAATACATGTTGCTAAA